GGTATTGGCAATATTTTGTTAACATATAAACTTTTTCATGATTTAGTGCTATTACCCATAATAATTAAGCACAAGAATCACCATATACTAAGAGAAATGCGTTTTATCGTCTCTTGTTGCTTGCGCGTGGTCTGTGCGCTATTTTAACTTTTACCTTTTTAACTTTTGTGAGGGATTCGCGTCGGCAAATTTAACATGACTGTGAGTGCAGAAAGTTAGTCCTTTGTTATTTGGTAGTTTAACACATTGGCGACTGCATAGTTTGGGCTCTTTGTGGGAGCGCTATGTCGAACGATTAGCTTCGGGTCCTAGACTGTTTGCTCTAATCTTGTGAGATTTCGTCAAATTTTTGTACACACTTCATTGGGCGTAAAGATTACAGTTCCGTCTCCAGGCTCATGTCGTACAAGCGGTAGGAAAAGATTAGCCCCTATATATAAAATTCGCTCTTCGCTTCGGTGTTAGTTCTCGCGGGCACCGGTTGGCTACGGTCTAGGGTGCTCGAAAGGTGACCATCCTAAGATGGAATAACTTGCGAATGGAGGCATAACAATTTCCGGGCCATGTCTCCCCTTACTTTCCAAAGGGGTCTGCTTTGATGTTACTGTACACTACAAAACATCATTTTGACACAAACGCTAATGGAACGTGGTTATGGTACCTTCCTATAGATCGCACTGAGCTGAGGGTTGCACGTTGCTTAGGAGGGTTCTAGAGTTGCGAGTGACGCACGGCGGAAAACAGTTTCTTTTAATGGTAAAAACTCCTAGCCGGCTTAGCTCATTGGCAAGTGTTATCTTCCTTGTAACACTCGATCATTCGTTATTACTATTATACTAGTTCCTTCCGATTCGGTAGCTAGACTTGTTTGAATGGACTGTTAGCTATGTTGCTTAGAAGTTAACTAACCCACAAAGAGATCACAACTCTTCCATTTAATTATATAAAGCTACGCGTTGAGTACTAACATTGCCCCCTAAAGCTGTTCTTTGTAACATGCCTAGGAAGAGCTATGGAAATCAATATTTGCACTATTTAACACATTGATGAAAGCAGCTAAGTTATGCGGAAAACTATTGTATAGTAGCGAATAGGTGCGGCCGAACGCGTTAAGAAGCATTGCAGGATGAATGACGTTTACCCAGGATTATTTTCTCCTGGACCGCTGGCTCGGTTGGATTCTTCTCTCTGACCTGGCTGCCGGTGCGTAACTCCGCTATAAAAGTTTAGTTACTATATAGACCTAGGTGCTAGTACTATATATATGCAGCGGATCCAACCTTTTCACTTACAAGCTTGTAATCATAACTAATGAGCAACAGGGGATGAACAACAAAGAGTATTGGGTTACGTTCAACAGTGGCCATCAAAGTTATCATATATAGGAGTAGTAGATTTAAGAAGTTCAGCTAAGGCAGATATATATATACCTGTGTTGCGCGCTCTGAAGACAGCTTTAATCGTTAAAAAAGAGTGCTAGGCAGTCTAATAATCTTTTCTCCTTTTATTACTGTTATTTTATACAGCGCTATGAATTAATCGTTAGATCTACGCGATAAAAGAAGTCGAATTGGCAATGAATACAATTTCAAATCGTAAATCGGTTCAGTAAATACGTCTCCTTTCAATACGCATATACTCAAATTATTTTAAACATATACCTTATATATTTTAATATTTTACATATCCTAATAAGTTATACGTACTCATAATATATTTTTATATACTCATTGGATTTTTTATATCTCTTTTATTAATTTTTGAGATTTGTGTTTCATCTAATATGAATTATACCCTGTATTTAGTCCTTTTCTTTTTTTTCATATCAAGATAAAATATTTCTTATTGCGCAAGCAGTACACTACGTTATTTCCTACTTTCACTAAATACTTAAGCATTTTTTTCTTTTTTTTAATACTTTATAATAAATTTTGACTTCTCTGTATGAACTATATTATACCAGTTATCTTTAGGATTAACTCGTATATAGCGTAGTTGAATATTTATAAATGTTTTAGAAATTATAATTTGAAATGAAAACACCTAAAATTTGTTTTTTTTGTTAAAAGAGGATACTCTTGCTAAAGTTTGCAGATCAAATAGTTTTGTTGATTGTATACGCATTTATTTATAGTATTGTTCTATTATTTAGCTGCATAAAATTAATGAAATTTTACTGTTATATATTTGTTTTTTAGGTCGATTTATATATATTCTATTTATTTTTTTAGGAATCATTTTTGCACATATTGTTTTCTTTGCGGGCGTGTTTCTGCTGTCTCGAGTTCGGCTTGCGTTTCCCTTACTCGCGGGTGCCACTCTGAAAATTCTTGATTTTAGTTAATCTTAGACTGATCGAAATAATTTCATTTTTTTTGTTAAAATTTGGCTATGTTTGAGTCCTCAGCTTTAATATTATTCCTTTTACACTTTATTCTCGGCTATACTGGCTTATTCTCTTCCGTATTTTACGCTTACATCGCTAATAAAGGGATGATCTCGTTTAGTAAAAGCCAAAAAGAATTAAGTACTCTTTACTTTTTTATTTAACACAACAAAAAATTGGTTTATTTATATAATTTAATCTACGCCTCTATTAGTTTTCGCGTAAGTAATAATAGAAATTAATTCAAAGAATGTCCCTATAGTGTTTTAAGAATGAATGACTTACATTTACCAGTTAGCTAGTAGCACGAACATTTAAAAAATTATAATAATTGCTATAACTGTGATGCTCGTTAGATATTTTAGGTGCTTTCTTTTTCGATGAACTAGACTTAAAAAACGCTGCTGTAAATCAATGTTTAAGAAGAATGTAAATATTTATTGGATTTTATAGGGATTTTACTTTATTTCAAGTACAGCTATACATATTTTACACGATAGACTTCATTTTAACATGACTTATCAAGTAACTACCTTGTGAGAAGTTTATTAGGGATGAGTTTACGTCGGTAACTATTATTATAAAATAATTACCTCTAGCTAATAAGGCGAATTCCAGCACTACAACATCTTGAAAATTAGAGTAAAATCCTAAAAAGCTAAGCACATAACCTTTTATTATTAAAGATGGAACTTATTACTCTTAACGGTTTACACTTTGCAAGTACTATATATATAGTGTCTAAATATGTACTAATATTTATAATTAAACGTTTTTTGTTGCATGCTTTCCCTAAAACATACTGAAATAACACAGAATTTTAGGGAGTTTAGCGAAAGTCACTTTTAGTAAAATACATGAAACCTTTAGCAAAGGCATTAGTTTCTAAGATTCTTTCACTTTTACTAAAAAAAATATATATTTAACGACAATATCTGTCCTAACATTATTTAAGGAAAGTTACAGAATCGTGACTGTATACATATAAAACAGAGATGTATACGTGATTCAAGAGCTTGGAGCGTTAATGATTACTCCAGAACTAAAATTAACTTTATAATTACATAAATTAGATTGTGCCTTTTTAGATGGGCAAAAACTTTATATCGTTCAGCTGATTTAACGCAACTAATAAATGTTTGATCCGCTTGCTCCTTGTAGGTTACGTAAATACGTTCAAGCCTTGGACTTTATAGAAGTTACAAAGCTACAAGAAACGAATTTAACATTATTATCCGTTATTGCCATATTTTTGGTTATAAATTTCTGGTCTACTATTAATAACCAACTTAGATTAAATCTTTTTTCTATATATACTGTTCTTACACCAGTATATACGATCACGTACTTTTTCAAATAAATTATTTGTCTTTAGTAAATTAAAAACCACTCTTAAAGCCAAAAATTGGTGACTGCCCTGCAATTCCTTTTTTTTTTTGAGGGCCCAACTTACAAAAAGAATTATTAGAAAGCAATAAAAACAGGTTTCTATACTCTACAACTACACAATAAGTTAAGCAACGACAAAAGTGATACCATATTCTAATGATTGCAATCTCCTGTTTACTGGATTAATAAATTGTTCTAACAGTTATGTATAAAAAAATATGTTAAGTCGAGACCAAAAAGCCTTTTTAAGAAACAAAAACAATTAAAATTAAGTTAAAGAACACGTAATAAATAGAATTCAATAATTATTGTAAATGAGTTGTCGCTTTAAGTAAAAAAAAGTATGCAGTGAAAATTATATTGAATTAATCTAAAATTCCTAAAGTATCATATTTACATAAGTAACAATTGATGCATAAGCAGATACTATGAACAATAGAGCTACTAATTCATATAGGATTGCTCATTAAAATTAATATACAAGTTGTAATGTATAAATTATATCCTTAATTTGTTAAAAAATCACTGCATAGTAGTTAAAGCAGCTAATTACTTTTAAGCAAATAGATAAGCCCCCAAATATTTGTAAAAGATTATCGATCTTATAACAAGTAAACTTTTTAGAGTTAGTCAAGGTTTAGGGGAAACTATCTTGTTGTTCTATGATAAATAAATGATAAAAGCTACTCTGCATATCTTTTTTGCAACAAAAAAAGTATTTATTACAGCAAAAACAATTATAAAAATGAAATAACGATATAGCGTAAAGTACAAGAGATATAATAGTACAAGTTAAATTTTGAGCGCGTGTACCGATTAATCTAGAAATGTAAACAATACTTATGTTACATGAAATCGTGAAACAAATTTTCTTTTTCTGAACTTATTTAGACCAAAAGTCATTATTATTTCTCCAAGTATACCGCCTTCTACACCTATTTAGCACAATCAGATAATGATACCTCTTGAAAATATGCTTATTACTCATCCTTAAGCTATAATTTTTTGCCTGTGACCTCCTTTTCGCTCCGCAATATAATACTGCCGTACGGGTTCTGTTGCTACTATCAAAATAGTCGATTGTCCTTTCAGTGTTTACTGTTTGTACAAGAGCGAAATTTATTGACATACTATAGTTTTTAGTTCACTTTTTTATAATAGAGAAAAAAAATTTATTTTTTGAATTTTATGTGCATTTGTAAAAAATTTACTTGAAGTATTAACAGCTTAAAGCCCTTCAGCTTTGTATGTTTAACTTATTTACTTCCAGACTTGTCACTTCGAGGTTACTTTCAATATCTCACTTTATATTATACAGTTCAATTCTTTTTCTCTAATTTTTTTTTAAATTTTTTCCTTTGTAAGCTATTTATTAATTTAGGCAAGTCTTTCAAATTAGGAGGGTAAATACACCGAGTAAGATTATATAAATTGCTCTATGATTTCACTCATTTGTCGTCTTTTAGCCGTTCGCCCAAGAAAGCTCGGAACACTTAGCTGTGGTCAACTTGCTTTTGTACTTATTCCTTTAACTTCATTTGGGTATAGTTTGTATACTTTTTTATTGTTATATTGAAATTTCCATTTGATTCACTTTAATATTACACATCTCTATCCCTCTATAGCATTTTTAAACCCTAAATTATTACGCATTTATCTATTTTATAACTTAACAAGTTTTTATTACTATTGACTTGTTCCCTCTAAAAAATTGGCTTATTTCTATATAACTCTTTTTACTTATTGTAACTATTGTGTTTTGTTACTACTATCAGTCTTGGATTTTGGCAAGTCAAAAGATGGCTTTGGAAGAAGCAGATTCGTGAAGCCATTCAGAATCACGCTTTTTCTGCGCCCGTCCCTTTTAACTTGTACGTATTTGCCTAATATAACAATTTTTGTTATAGATGTATAAAAGTATTTACGTGTAATTGACCAAAAAAATCAATTTTTTATCTTATAAGTTTGTTATAAAAATAAAAGGTTTTGTTCTATAAGTACTAATGCTCTCAGTTTTCTGAGTTCAGCTGTGCAGATTCCTTGTTTTGGTAAAACGGGATAGTTATATTTAAAAAGTTATTTCCGTCCTCCTTCCCCAATATTAGGCTGTTTTCTTTTTTTTTTGGCGGCATCACATTTATTTGATAATATATATAAACCTTTTCAGCATTGTGCAATTTGAAATTGTTAATTTGTAAACACGAAGTTTAATTTATTTTTAATTTCCTCCCTTTCAGTTTTTATTAACTTTGCTTTTCTAGATTTCTTTATTTATATTTTATTTTACGTACTTTTAGAAACGAAAAACAAAGTACTTATACGAAAGTGACTTTTTCTGGTGAACTTGTTGTTAATAAGGAGTTTCATATTTTTTCACGTAGAAATCCACAAAACGAATCTGAAGTTGGAGTTAGTCCTTCATTACTATGTTGCTATTGCTATGCTTTGCTAGTTGTGTTTATTTTATAAATAGATCCACGTGATCTCCCCCTTTATTCTGGACTCCGGGTAACGTTTTTGAACTCTTTCAAAAGTTACACATTATTTGTTTAAGACTTTTAAATTCTATAAGCGATTTACTCTTTTTTAAATATTTCATAATTTTTACCTTAAATTTCACTTACAACTTAAATCAAACTTTTTACTTGTTTTTTTTTTCATTCATTTCTAGTGAACTTTTTGGTCTTTCAAATTTAATACATTATTATATAGGTAAATATATTAGATTATATTATATTAGATTATATTATATTAAGTAAATTGTTGCTGATTTAGGATTATTTACTTTTCTTTTTCGTACCTTCTACTATGTAAGTTTTAAAATTGAAATTTTATTAAAAAATAAGATAATTAAAGGCTTTGATACCTTTTGATTTCTTTTCTTAAATTTATTTTTTTTAAGCGTATAAAAGTTGTTTAGTTTACTTTATATTTTTTCATATTTTATAGTATATTTATAAGAGTAATTATAAAATTCCACTCTTAATTTTCTTATTATCATCATTTTAACGCAAGAGCAGAAGATTAGTTAAAAAATAAAAAAAAATTTATAACACGCAATGGTTTACAACTTTTAAACCTTCTATACTGAACGAGAAAAACTTAATAGTAACGCTGTAATAACTTTATATAGAGAACTACTTTATTGTAGAAGAATTATTAGTAATTTTAGTAATTTTATTAATATATATTAAACGCAGAGAAACCATATTAGTTAATCGAGGCTTTTTACCTTATAACCTTAGAAATAGCAAAGGAAGAACGGAGGATACAGTAAAGGAGAGACGGTCTTTTGTTGGCTATCTTGTTCAAGGCGAAGTATATCCTTTTTACGTTATTTTATTTTTCAATCATTGTAATATTTATTATTAAGTTATAATACTTATTGTTATATAAAAGTTTTTTGATTTATTTATTTTTGGTTGGCCATTATTATGTTTATATTTATTTAATTATATTTTTCTCACGTAAAATCTCCATTGCTTGTATTTTACTTTATTTTAAGTTTCTAATGAATATTCACCAAGTTTGCAACTAAAGATTCTCGAAAAGAACATTCTACAACTTCTTATTCGAGTATATGGACATGTTATAAGTTTTCAATGGGCATCTTATAAGTTATATAAAATATATTTACTGTTTTACCCTTTTCCTGGTATTTATTAAGAAGAATGCAGCATTTTAAAGGCCCTTTTTATTAAATATTTTGCTATTAGAAAAGTTTATATATGGCATAATAATTTATTGAAAATATTTGAATGTTGAAGTTTTAGTTTAATTTTTTTCATTCCTTTTATTATTTTCATATTTTATAATTAAACATTGTTAATTTTGAAAGTTAAAGTACTCATAATAATTGTTGTTAAATTGAGTTTAATAATTGTTGTGCATAATTTCCAACTAATAAGTAAAGCATGTTGAAAAATTATTTAATGAATTTATGTATATATCTTTCTCTACTATTAATTAGTGGGAAGCTAGCGTATTATTATTGTTAACGCTTTATCTTAGCTGAAATCATAAATTTTTTTTATTTATGCCTTACATCAACTATTTATTTTTTGTTTTTTTTTAGTTAACATAACTTTTTGATTTTTTCCTTGCTATTTTTTCAATTTTTTAATTTTATTTTACTATAGTTTGGAGAATATAGGATTATAATATTTTATAAACCTCTGATTACTCATTTAAAGTAACAGTCTTTACATAAATATATTTTAAGTGAGTTATACTGCTACACACACATTTCTTTTTGGTTGATCACAAGCCTTTAAACTTTGTAACGAGCGGCATTGTAAACTTTATAGTGGAAATGATGCTTTAATTATAGAAACACATTTTAAATATAAATTTGAAGATTATGTTGTAACAAAAAAAAATTTGTAATAATTTTTAAAATATAAGAAAGAAGTTAGATTAAATCCAACTAATTATAAAATAAGTATTGAAAATTTACCTTTTTCCTCCCCGACTTAAGTCACCATAAAAACTATTATTACCGTATACTCCAAAGCGTTTAAAAATTATATATATTCTGTTTCCAATATTACTATATTGATGCATTATATTTCTTTCTAAAGGTAAATTTTAATAGCTTGTTTAAAACTTTAATAGAAACCGGGCTTTTTTACTTATGCCAATGCCGCAAACAAAAACGAATGGCATTGGTATATATATATCTAACGCTTTTTGCTTAAACAGCTATAAATGTCTGCGTATTGTGTAATTTAATAAATTATTATTTTTATTACTGCTATTATTATTGTCACCTTGCAGGATTGATTTGGAAGCTTTATCAAAACTGTCAAACACTTTACCTGTTCTCGTGGATCTTTCTTCTGGTTACTTTAATAAATATTATACTTTAATATAGTTGATTATATTTATTTAAATATTTTAGAATGTACGCCCAAAACGTCCACCGGAAACCTTTTATTTCCCTTAGCGGGATCCACAAATCTCAATCCTCCCAATAATCATTTAATCTATATATTAACTTGGTTATTAATACTTCTTCTTGTAGTTCTGTTCTTATCATTGCTATATATATATTATTAATAACAATATCTTATTTTTTGCAGGTTTTCAATAGGCTCATTAACTTCATACATGTTTAAGAAGTTAATATTATAAATTAATTGCATTTCCTTGATTTTCGTGAATAATATAAAAACTGCTGTGCTGACTTTAGCTTGTAGGTTACATTTTATCTATGATTTTAAGTTTGCTAAGTTTGAGAATTAATCAGAAAGACCTTTTTTTAATAAATTTAAATTTGCTACTTTATTTTCTTTTTATTACTAGTTATAGGTTATTGTAACAATATCAAGCTATATATATTAAAGCGTTAATAGTTGAAAATTGGAATATTAAGTATTAATAACTTTGTATCGCACTATTTTGGCTCCTTTATATAAATAAAGTTATCTTCAGTTTTGTCGGTCCTTTGAAATTCCAAAAAAAAATGGAATTTAACGTTTAAGTAAATCTTAGTATTTTTAAATAGTCACCATTATTTTTGTTGGGAAAAAGATTTATTGTAAATCGATTTACTACTTTTTTTATTACTATATCTTGTAGGAAGAATTTATAAGTTCGAAAAATATTTTAGATATTGTAAAGTTTAATCTTTTAAGGGCCACTCTGCTAACTTTAATATTTCTTTAACTTTTAACTTAAAAGTTAGAAAGAAAAGTTCTTCAAAAAACTTTTAGTAATATTAAAGGAAGTAATTATAATAATAAAAATAGTAATAATAGAAATAATAATAAAACTAAAAGTAGTTACTATTTACCTCACAAACCTTAACGTGTTGAAATACTTTCTAATGTTAACTTCGAATTATAAAAAATAATTTTAAAGTGTTTTTAATAGAGCAAAACTTTATAACCACATGCTTCCTTTGTTCACGTTTAAATTTATATTCTCTCAGCTTTTTCAATGGACAGTTTTATTAAAAGGCGATAATCTCTAATATGAGAGTATAATTTTTTTTAGTCACTTTACATTTTATGATGTACTAACGTTTTTATTATTTTTATCAGCCTTCGTCAAAATAGTATATATAATTTTTGTTACGCAACTTTTATGCACTTAAGAAGTTAACATACACTACATGCACTATGAAAGGGCCCCCTTTTCGGATTATCTTTTTTTTTAAACTTAAAGTTTCTCACTTTGGTTAACCTTTTGTCTTTATAAAACTTTAACAAAAATGCAGGTTATTTAAGATCGCATTAACTTGTTATGCGCTTGTACAAACGCTGTTGGAAATGTAAATCAAAAAATTAAGATTTTTCTCTTTGTCTTATGGCTTGGCGTATAGAGATGCTCTTTTTTTTTAATATATAGCAAGTTTATAGTCTGTCAATCCAATAGTTGCACTGTTTTGAAGGTTAGAGAGCTTATATGCCAACCATTCTACTTTTTCTTCCTTTTATTGTTTCCTTTATAATTTCTAAGTTTTGGAGAGTCTTTCGCTTAAACTTTATGGGTAAAGGGATTTTATAAATCCATAGTAGCGGTTGTTGACTTTAGTCGATCTTTTTAAGCTTGCCTTACAGCTCTTTGGTAACCCAGAAATCGACTACGTAACTAAATGTAAGGTCCCTTTTTTAATAGTTTTCAGAGGGTCTACAGAATCGCTAAACTAACAGCGTTGGGATGCTTAAAACTTAAGCAAATTCATAAATTACTATTAATAATTATTCTAGAATTACACTATCACGAGAATTAGCTTAAAAATTGGCGATTAGGCTATATCGTTGTACACCGCGATAGGCTTTGTAAGAGGTAAGAAAGAGCGTGCACGAAACGATGATACTTTGATAATGGTAAATTTTTTTGTAGTGAGTTGACTCTGGACAAACAAATTTTTTTTCAATAAAAAATTATTATACTATAAGTATTCTCTTTTTTTTTTCTATTTTAGTAAAATAAATTAATTAGCGTTTTAGAGTGTTTTGTTCTACTAAAGTAAAATTCTTTTTAGTGATTTTTTAGAATAAACATACATACTTTAATCATAGGTTAAGATGAGTTGAATTTAATCAGTAGTATTGTGTGGATTAATGAATTAACAACCACAGTGTACCAATGGGTTGACCAGCCTACTAAGATTGTCTACTGTTAACTTGAACAGTGATACAAAAAACGTATTCACTAAGATCTTAGCTACTAACAAACAATTTTTTGTAATAAAGCACTGAGAAACTTTTTACACAGTCGGGAATTTTCAGGTTTCTACCTGATTAAAACTAACAACAGCTAAAAGTACCAGAAGTTCTTTAATTAATAACCTTCAAAATTTAAGCCAATTTAGGCGTCTAGAAAAAGTTGTGCTTTAATTATACTTATCAAATTTTCTTTTACTAATTTATTTTTACTTTCTTAGCAAAGTTATTGTTTATATATTTTTTTTCACTACTTTCTCTAATTACTGATATGTACATATCAATTTTATAGAATCTCGTCGAACGAATATACAATATTTTCCAAGTTTTTTAAAAAGCACGTTGGTTACTTTTGCTTCTACTTGTACGGCGTAGTTTGTACATGTATAAAAGTTTTTAATCTTTAACATCTAGTTTGCCTGTACTATTATAAATTTTTTTTTAATTATTTTTTAATAATTATAAGAGATTCCTCGTAATAAAGTTTGCAGACTTACGGATTTGGTATAAAAATTTTAATTTACTTGCAAATATTTCTTTATTTATAACTATGTTACATTATATAGCTGCTTATCAGGTGTAAATGTGTTTTAAGCCAAAGTACATTTTTTAAGGTCTTCTTTTAGCCACCCTGTGGTCTTATTTAGCTTCATTGTTTTTTTAACGTGCGAATCTCTGTATATATTACCGCTTTTGGCTTATATTTCTTCTATTTGCAATAATTTTCGAGTTTAACTAATTCCTTTCGTATCAAAAGCAATGGTTGTATACAGCTATTTTTAATTTTTGAGATAAAGCACTAATTTTCACCCGATTGTGTGTGCGGTTCTTTTATTCTATCTCGAGTCCTCATAATAAGTGCTAATATCACTTGACTTCACAGTTTTGTGGTAATAATATTAATAATTTAGTATATATATATGTAAAAAATTATTAAAAAAAACTTTAAATTTTTATTAATTATATAATTACAAATGACTTTTCCTAGTGCTAGATCGAGTCATAGATCGATAATTTCTTGAAATTTTTTCCTCTATGGAACATAAAAACTTGCTCTTAAAGCGCGACGTGCTCTATCCCATGACTCGTATATGAGCTTGGCTATCCGGTCATATAGGGCAAATTGTGTCGGAAGACAATAAAGTCAAGGCTCTCAATTAAAGGATAAATTCTGTTGTGGTTTTAAGGCTATAGGTACTATTTCGGAATTGATTCCTGATTATTCACAAGCAACCAACGGCTCAACGGTGGAGCCTTAAGTTAAACATAGTGCCAAGATATACCAGGTTTTCCTTTGAACCCTCCCTTTTCAATCTTTTTTTAAACTGTTAGACCGTGGACATGAGGCGAGCCAGGGCAAAAAATTCAACAAGCGATTAACAGCTAAAATTCCAAACAGAAAAAAGAACCCTTTGCTTTATTAATCAAAAACTTTACAAAAATTAAGTTTGAGATGGACGAACGCTCAAGATTTTTTTTTGCAAAAAGGTTGGTCCTAGGGGTTTGAATAGTTATTCGGAATTTTATAAAACGTAAGAAATTAAATTAAACGGACCAACCGATAAATATTTTACTAATTTATTCGCAATAAAGTACTGTTAAAAGTGGTCAAAATGTGTTAGAAGCATCTAGCTGAAACTCTTTTGCTAACTTAGTGTGAGCAGCAGCGTAATTTGAGACGAACACCTAATAACCAAAATTGGAGATATTCGGATTGATTAAGGGAGAAGTTGAAGCTTTCAAGGAAGATTTGCGAATCCAAAGAGAAGATATTAAGACACCAGGAGGCTTTGAAGTACTTGGGGCCCTCATTAGCGAACGATAAACTAAATTTTTTTTTAAGTGCGCGACGCAGTGGAAGAGCATTATAAAAATGTGGATGCGTCTAAGTTAAATGGTAAACCAAGATCTTCCGTTAAAGAAATGGTGGAAACCTTGAAATCATTAGCTCCTCCTCTGAAAGATAAAAAGTACAAAATATTTTAACGCTGAAGTATGTGCAGTAGTTTTAAGGGCGGAAAAACTCAGGAAGATCTGAGAACAGAAAGAATACGGTTATGAAAGTTTTAGAGGATAATAGTGTTTGTTAAAGTAGTGATATTAAATTTATTTACACTAGTAGAACAAAAAATTATAGTAGTAATGGTAGTAGATGTTGTAGAGGTGGAACTAGGAAAAGTTATAATATCGGCGATAACTCTTTTCGTAAGTATTATAAGTGTACAGAAAGCAGTTAGGACGGTGTCGTACATGGTATAAGCAAGTTCTTGTAGATTCAAGCGCAGAAAGCGGTTTCATTTGCTGTAAAGTTCGGGCTGGAAAGCTCTTATAAGAATATATAAAACTCAGATGTTTATATATATATTCTTTGGGAGGGGGCGGACTATCCATTACAACTATGATGTAGCCTCTGTTGAACTGTTACTAATCAGAGGAAGGCGAAGGTCAAACTGAACGTAGTTGACTATATATTTCCAAAGGGTGTGCTGTTACTTGGAAAACATGAAAAATTTGTCTTTAAACTTTATGAAACTTTACCATCATGCGATTTCCCTATAGAATAAGTCTTAGTAAAAAAATTGATAAGCAGCTAGTTTCTGAAAGTATAAAAGTTGGTGACCTAATATATAGTAAGTACCCAGACTGCAAAGTTTAAGGAGAAGAATGGAAAGGGCCTGCCCAAGTGATTGACATATTTGAACATGGGTAATATCGGTTAAAGTTAGCGAACAGTATAAATTAGAAATGGAAATCAAAAAAAAAACAAACGTGTTTAATATTATTTATAGCTAAAACTTGGGAAAATTGGGAAGAATTCACGTAAGTGAAACTGTTTAATAGTAATGATACGACTGAAACAGACAAAATTTACTTGCTTAAGTAACAGTTAAATCAAAAGGTAGGGCGGAGCTGGGCAGAATAGCTGCTGCCTTGGAAGTGGAGTAAAACATTAAAAATTATGATCTAATCCTTTCAGTGTACCAGAAGATGGGTTTTTTCTGGGCGTTGACTATAAAAACCTTTAACCCGAAGAAATCATATATATTAATAATATCTTAATTTTTGAATAATAGAGATGATAATATTTTAATATAGGTAAACAATCATAAGTTTTTATCATTACCATTCATTTATTTATTAACGACAGTGCCTAGGCTCGATCGAGTTAAAAAACTCCGAATGCTCGAGCTCTCAAACAGGAGTGATCTCAAATATAACACAAATAGCTTTCACGGTGTCACTACTTTCTTGACATTAAGGACTCGCGCTTACGCGCATCACGAATGGCTCCTCACCCATGGCTTGTAAATAAGGTCACTCGCCAGCAGGCGATTAGTGTGCTTGGCTAGCCTGTCGTAAAGGACGTTGGCATTACGTTGAAGACGACGTCTAAAGGGCCCAACTGATGGTTACTGGTGAAGGGCTGCATTCCCCACAAACCATGGCGCATTTGTCATCAAGCGCAGCAATTTATTCTGTCACACTTGTAATGCCGACGCTATTGCAGTAAACTCGTAGACCTAGGCAGCAGACGCGTATGTCCTTATTAACTGGAAGTAAGAAATATACTACTACCGTTTGTTTTGCAGAGGAAGCTTGCTCTTGCCGCATAGTAAAGGGTAAAGCGCCTTAATTGCTGCCTTAAACTTCGCCACTAGATAGTCCACGTGAGGCCGCCAAGAACATTTGTTGTCAGCGATGATTTCCAAGTATTTCGCTTGACAACACCACGGGGTCTTTACGCCAACAAGGGGACCCTCTTCTTAGAATTAAAAGCGCTTTGCTCTTCATCGCATTTATAGAAACTTTCCAATTACAAAACCAGTCAGCAAGGGCGTCAAGATAGCATAGCGCGGTGGGAGACTTCGACGAGGAGTAAAGACCGTATCATCGGCGCAGAGGACAATTCGTGTGTGTCGATTTGAAGGCAAGGGCAAGTCGCTTATATAAATTGCAAATAAAGAGGACAAAAGAAGGAATCCCTGAGTGGTCCCTGCGGTCAGAGATCGCAGCGGCGACTGTGCGCCTCCCGCGCGCCTACTGAAGATGCGGCCATTTAGATAAAACTTCAGCACTTTGTAAAGGTCATAAGGGGCGGATAACGAGCGCAGTTTTTGCAGCAGGCCTTCATGCCAAACTTGATCAAACGCTTTTTTAACGTCAAGGAAGACTGCGCCTGTGGCCTTCTTAAAGTTAAAAGCGCGAGGTGTTCCTTTCAGTTAAGCGGAGTAACTGCTGGGCCATCGAGTGCCCTTGCCGATATACAAATTGAAACTCCTTCTAGGCGTCCCGAGCATCAACCATCTCTCTTAGAGGGCGCAGTAAAACGGCCTCACCCACTTTGACCACCGCTCACTGGAGATTTATGGGTTGGTACTTGCTAGTTGCTGATTTCGGTTTAAGTGTCTTGGGCAGCATTATAACGGCCGCCATCTTCTATCGGATCGGAAAGGCGCCAAGAACCATCGCAGATTTTTACTAGCAGACACAGATAATTATCCTTGTTAATGGCAATTTCTTCAGCATCTCATTGGTGATACCATAGGGGCCAGGCGCTACGGCGAATACGCTAGAAGCTTGCCAACATTAACTAGCTCAAGTGATTCGTGAACATCGGGAAGGGGTAGGCTCAGTCAAGGGAGCACATCATTGGCAGTGAAGAGGGTAGCTGGCTTGTTTTTGGGTAGCAAGGAGGTTAACGAAAAGAGTAGCCTTATCTGCAGCGCTCTCGGCCACTATATTTCCCTTCACGAAGGGACGATAGTGGTGCGAATCCCCGATTTCTAATCTTTATAACAAATTTCCAAAGGAGGAGGAGCAATTGCTGTTACTTGATTCAGAGATATTGTGCAGCTTGGCCTCCCATTTATTGTTAAACTGGGCCATTAGCTTCTTTCTTATGCACCTGTGCGGTCGAATCAAGCGCAAGTTTGTCTTCGGCGCTCTGCGACATGGTCGCACGGATAAGATGTCGGCGTTGGCAGATAAGTGTTTTTAGTTCGTCCAGGGCGGTACGTTACTTCACGAATAATCGTGGCAGTAGTGTGAGCCATGTTCAGAGCGCTTTCGAATAAGGCGACAGCATCATCCAGCAGGGCGGGAGTAGAAGGTAATGACGTACACAGCGGGAGCATGACTCTCGTCCCAGTTGGTAAAAAATGCGGGTGATAGTCTTCGGTGTAATCTTCGTCACCTAATTCGAGAATAACTGGAAGATGATCGGAGGAAAGCTCGTGGAGCTCTCTCCTCGCTTTTGTGAGACGTATGTCTTAAGTATGTCTATATCCAATACGTCCATTGTGCCTGTCGCCGCCGAGTGTATTAGTTGCTGGGGACCTAGCATGCACAGCTCGTGCTCATTAGCATAGACCTCAAGGATGTGGTCATTCAGATGAAAGGGTCCTTGTAATTAAAATCTCCGCACAAAACAGAAGAGGAGTCACTCGCAAAGATGACGTCCAAATGGAAGGACGGTAGTAGATTCCGAGGGAATTTGTAAAAAGCGATCACAGCCACGGGCCCCTGGCCGACCGTACAAAGAAAAATTCCACTGCCCCGAGGCTTTGCAGAGTTGGCAGAGAAATCGAGTGATAAATGCTCAGTTTTACTAAGACAGCCACGACCTCGCCGCGTGCATCGATTTGGTCTTGGCGATACGTAACAAAGTTGCACAGGTTAAATGCGATGTTAGGAAGGAGGTAGTCTCGTTTGATAACGCACATATCAATTCTTTCACGTTGTAACAGCTCCTAGAACTCATGTTCCTTAATCTGAAAACCATTCGCATTCCAGAAAATAGTCGAATGTAATAACGCGCCTTTGGTTTAGAAAAGCATTGCAAAAACAGATTCTAATCCTGTCACAGTTTCAAGAATGCTAGATAAACCCGTCGTTAAAATTGCTAACACCTTCCGTGATGTCTGTGGTTGTTGCTGTTACTGATCAGTTTTCGTGAACAGTAGCTTTAGAAACTAACAGAATAGTGGACGGGACTTGATGAGGTTCTGTCCTCCAACGGGACGCGTAAGAGAACCCCGGAGTAACCGTGTTGTTTGTAGTAAGCACCGACGGAGTGGACTTAGCGAGTTGGTTGGCTACTTTCTGCGGATAGTACTTGCAGCTTTGATAATTAGCGGCCTGCGCTTCACCGCAATATTTGCATAAGTAGCAGGGCTATTTCTTGTTTTCGTGCATAGGACTGTCAAGTGGCCCATGCCACTTTCACGCATCGAAAGAACGCAGTGCAAAAGCTTGCGGAGATGCACAAAGTTCTGACAACGATGGCACTGGCCAACGCAATTACTCTTCCTATGTTCCTCCACTCGAATTTGATGAGGAATAGTCCTCAGTACTAACACCTTTTGTCTCTCAATTCAGTGTATACATATACCAAAACTAGTGGTGACGATTGCTTCTTCCGTTTGCCAATGGCGATGTTCTCCGTGTGCATTCGCGCAACTAGAAGGGGTGTGATGCCCTGAGCGCATTTGGTGGTGGTGTTGGTGAGCGGGGGGAGGGGTTGGTTGTATTGTTATACGAATGAACTGCAAGCTGAGTTTCTTCCATCTTCCATGTCTATTTACTGAACTTGCTACCTCTCTTTACATCAATGTAATGTTTTAAGGACTACAGTCAACTCGAGAGACTACGCGAGCAGGGGGTTCTAACTAACAATATATAAAATATTTTAATAAGATTGAAAAAGTTTTTTTACGTAGTATAAAATATTAAACACTGACGAAGCTATTAAAAAAATACATAGCATGATGAAAGTGTAGATATATATAAAAATGTGATTTAGATTTTCGTGTTAGTTACAACTCCTTCACACCAATAGTTGCTTAACAATACGAACAACAAAAAATAGGCATTCCAATGGCTCCTCGCTTTTTTTTTACTAGCGATGCAAAAGAAACTTAAAAATACGAGCGTCACAAAAAGAAGTTATAGAAATGCACATCTTCTACGCAAAAGACAAAGTAAATTTATTGACATTTTTTTTTATTAATAAAGTTGAGAGTAAATTTCTTTTTCAGTGCTTCACTATATTTCGTCGTTGAGGATCTTTTCCCTTAACTGGCTCATAAACGCGCACTGATTAATAAAAAAGTCAAAAAGAATATATTTAGAAACCGAAAAACAAAAGAAGAAACCATAAAGTGAACATTATGGATAGACGCGAGAGTCAATGCGGTGAGCTCGTTGGCCTTAAATAAGTGATGGACGTATGAGCGCCTGCAAGGACACCTTATTAGCCACCCATGTAACGACACCGATAAATATCAGACTTACGAGTGGTTCGCGCAAGTAAAACAAAGGCAGCCTCTTTCTATAGGTCCAAAATCATTTAGAAATGCCGTCGACTTTATATTGATGCAACCGTCTCTATCGGCCTTACAAAGTTTACGGAATATCGGATTGGCGGACAAGAGAGAGCAATACCGCACTAGCAGGCGACCGTGCCGAGCGAGCTTAGTAGGGAAGCTTGAGTCGTAAGTATCGATACCAAAGCCGACGGTGTTGGTGATGCAAAAGATATCTCCCACGCCCAGAAGATGACAGGGCTGGTACGTGAGTCCCAAGATCATTTTGTAAAATAAAAATCTCAGAGAAATACCTTATCACGCGGGAGCATTACTGACAGTCCACGCAAAAGTTTTATCATTTCTTCTTTAGTTTGACCTAAACTACCACCTTAAAAAAAAAATTATAAAAGTGCAAAACTTTATAAAAATTATATCTTTATAAAATAGTTAAGCTAACCTATAGAATGGCCATCAAAAGGCTCAGAACAAAGTAAATTTATACTTTTTTCTCTTAAAGATATATCCACGCCTCCGTGAATTACCTAAAAAAAAATTGAACGAAAAAAAGTTTAACTGACGAGCACCTTAAAGAAGACAATACCGAATAAATGGCTTGATTTTCAGGAGATTTCAAATGTTCTTTCAAAGAACGGATTTCCCAGCGGTGTGTTCGTTCAAAGGAGCTCAAAAGTTGATCACAAGAAGCAGCAACGCACGGCAGTTCGTCAAAAGATACAATAATGTCGCTTTTGATTTTCTTTTGTGCTTGAATCGAACTTTCCGGTGTTAAAAAAATGTGCGAACCGTTTCTGTCGCGCTAAAAGTTCTAATTATAAACAAAATTAAAAGGAGGAAGAGAGCGACCTGTACGAACGAAAAACTACGCCTTCCTCAGATATTTTAACAACTAAATTATTATTATATTTGACATTCTTAGAAGATTTCTTAAAACCTCCTTGAAAATTTAAAAAGTAAAACAGAAGTGACTTCAATAAAAATAAGATAACAATTTTATAGAAGGCGACGAATGCTGGGAAATAAGGTTAACTTCTCATAAAGAAACAACTCCATATAAAAACTAAATAATAGAACGATTAATATGGAGATTATAAATATTTATCACTAATCCTTGAGAAAAGTACAAGTTGTACTAATATATTTAAAATAAACTTTATTAAAAAGTACTATATTAAAAGATTTCTAGTAGCCAAAGAGTATTATAATACACTTGCAGATTTAAAAAAAACTAAAATCATTTGAAGGCATATAACAAATTTCAACTAAAAGATTAATATATAAAAATGTATAAAGTCCCAAAGGCCCACAAGCCAGCTTAACAAAAAAATACATACCTAAAGGTTCTCGTCGCAAAGAAAAAACCTAAAAGACCTACTAAATTATTTAACAAAAAAAGAGTATTTACTGAACCTGGAAACCACCACTATCAGTAATGATGGGTCCTTTATAATTCATAAATCTGTGAATACCACCCTTTAGTAGTAAATAAGGTATAAATAAATTATATAAGAAATCGGTATAAAAAAATTTAAAGCGCCATTACGGCTTGCTGAATGGTATCCACACCGGGATGAACCAGAAGATGAAAGGTGTTGCTAAACGTAAAGGATTACAGAAATGGAGATACAAAAGAGTTCTTGCAAAGGAAATTTACCAAAATAGTAACTCTAAATTAGTACTTAAAATTTGCTGAGAGGTAAGTCCTTTTACAGAAGCGTTTGTTCCAACACTGACAAAAGAAGGTGTATGTATATCGCCGTGTAAAGTACTAATTTTACCGACTCGTGCTCTACGACATTAAGAACAAAAAAAAATTTAGTATAAATTCAAGCAAAAAAAACAGCATAAAAACAGCATAAAAACGAACAGTGATTTTGATGACCGGTGAAGGATTTGAAATGAAAAGGCCTTTGGAAGAGTACCCATTATGTGCTATTTAATTAAAAGCTACAGGTTTTGCGAACGACAAGTAACGCTAATAAGCTAAATTTATATATAAATTACTTTGCGCCACTGAACAAGCTAAGTTTTCGAGTGACTACAAACCAAATCGATACGGTTTGCATAGTATTTACTGTATGAGGAAAGACCACATGTGATTATATAAGTGTGATTCGCACACCAGCTGCAGTCTTCTTTTTCTGTTAATTGTGCGGTGGGTTTGGTGCGCTTGGAGTCTGTAATGATCAAATAAATTTACAGTGCTTTCTAGTACTTCGACTTTCTTATATTATATCACTTTATTATCCATAATATACTTTATATTATCTATACATTACTTTTCTGTCTATATATACAAATTATCGAAGACTTATAGCTTGTGTAATAGTAATACAGAAACAGTTGTTATGCGTGTGCTAAAATTCCTACAGAAGTGAAGGCAGCTGCGGAACGCCAGTAGATTGCGTGGGAGACAGTTTGTGAGAGAGAGGGGTTTAAGAATTTTAAAAGACAGGTCCGTTTTTGGAGGGGGAAAAAATTACTAGAAAAGGTAAAATAAACCGTAAAAAAAAGGGATGTATATATTTGTTAATGATTAATGATTTTGGTCTTATAGAGAGTTTGAGTTATTGGTAGGTGAGAAATAGAAGATTTTATATTTATGCTGCTGAGTGAAGACAGATACATGGAAGATAAGGTATTACAGAGTAGTGAATTTAAACTTTTGTATAGGCGTAAGGAAGAAACGTCGTAACAGGTATTACTGATGTTAATAATGAAATAATACTTTACAATTCGTGATCAGGGAGAGTGTGACCTGTTAAACTAAGCAACTGACCCTAAGAATATATAATTTAAGTTGGCACTTGATAGTAAGAGTTTCATGGAATTGGAATCGCCTCAAGTGACTAGAGTTCAAAAACGTAAGGTGGTTATGAGAGAGCGTGGGAAGTTTTTGAAGCTCGGAAATGTTTAAACCTCCTATATGACTACGGATGAAATAATGGTCATGTATTAAAAAAACCAGTGTACAAGTATGCCAGTGAACAGAACACGTGAGTATTGAGCCTGAAATATCATTGGAAGTATGCAACGCACGACAAGACCTTAACAAGCATAGCAAAGAGAAGCTAATTGACTTTGGGCTAGAGGAAGCAGAATATTTTTTGTCTGACAACGCTAAAATTTTTTGACGACCAACTTATAAATTCTACTCTTGCCAGGCCGAAGCAGGATACGGCTAACAGTTCTTCCATTTCGATATGTGAAGAGTCTGTATGGATAGGGTTCCGATGAGTTAGGGATACACATGTTTAAGTCAATGATTTACAAAAGTTGATCGAGCATCGTAAGAGCTTAAGAAAATAAATTGAAATTGTTTTAAATAAAGAAGTCTTAATCTGTTTATAATCTTCTATAATAAACTATTTACTTAGTGGTCCTCTACACTACTAAGTTTTCTTACTAACTTAACCAGAAACGCGCTCTAGACCAACGCCAAGCTTCCATAATGAAGGCGCAAAGCCCTGACAAACACAAAAAAAATGGGGAGAATAAGATGGACAAGCTACACAAGTTTTATTTTTTTATTTAGTTACTTAAAAATAGGCGGTCGACTTGCACAGTGCTTTACTATCTCATCTCTAGTTATCCTTTCATTTAGTTTCTATTGTGCAAGAAAGTGCCTTGGGTCTAGAATCTACAAGATTTTAAGTCCGAGGCATCAGAGATTTTAGTACACTAGAAAAGGGAAGAAACCTTGCTAATAATTTAAGCTTTGACAATAACAGATGGATGGATACAGTGAGCTGTGCCCCTTAGAGTTATGTTAATCCTCCTATAAAGTAACAGGGCTTGAACGTCTAGTTTACGTTAAAGAAGACAGAGTGGCTTGTGGGGTTATAAACGTAAATGTTGGAAAAGCGCGTCTTTTTTATAAGGCTGTCAAAAAAGTAAAGTAAATGATTTACTGAGTTTAATTTTGAAATGAGTGAAGAGAGTAATAACGGATTTTCTACCATGTTGAAAATGCAAAGAAAAGGGGATAATAGATTTCCTAAGTCTTAAAATTCTGGTCAGTATACACCCAATAATATTTAAGCTACTAAAGCATCTAGTCGGCTTCTAGAAAAATGGCAGAAGTAAAGAAGAGGAACCATTAACTTTAATGTCCCGTAGAAAAAAGGTTATTAATACCTTCGGGGGAGTAAGTTTTAAAAGTAAGGTACAAATTTAAAATTGCTGTGCTAAGTTCACTCGCTATTCCTCATATTCGGGGTTGCTCAACTTTACTTTAATAAAGGCACATTAATCGCATCTTCCTTTCTTCCTCAGCTTTTCTTAACCCCAAAAATCTAAATTGCTGGCTTCAGTTTTTTTTTAAGTACTTACCGGAATTTCGATTTATCCACGCACATAATTAATTCACTTCAGGTAACTTACTACAAAAGCGTCTATAATTTTATTTTTGGGGAAGCTGAAAACCTCTTTTTGCACTGGTTATTTTGGTATCCTTCCGTTTTCCTTTTAAGCGTGCCAAATGAGTAGCTAACTAGTTTTTACAACCATAAATAACTTCTACCAAGTAAGTTTAAGAAGAACTTTTAACCGTTGTCTTTACACTTTCTTTGTTGATACTGTCCCCTTCAAAACTGCAGCGACGCTAATTTTTTTAAAGAAGCTCCCTTCTATAACTAGGCGTGAAGGAGTAACTCCTAGTTACCATTTTTGCTGGACTCTGGTTACCCCTTCCGTTTAGAAGTCTTTTAAATGAGGAATTACCACTAACTCTGTGGAAATTTTTTTTTTTGGCTGTAACCGCCGAGATGTGACTTTGGCCCGCCCACCTAACTTCTTAGAATTTGTGGTATTTATTTTACTTACTTTTTTAGCGACTTATTCAAAATATACTTAAACATTTGAGAAAACTTAAACTCCGAAAATTACATTTACTGACCTTATATTGCAGACCTTATATATATTATATACTTACCACATTTATTTTTTTAAATTTTTTTTTCTTCCTTTTAACCTTTATTTTTTAAAAAAAGTATTATTTATCTTTATATTAATTATGAGTCTGTCCTCTGAAGTAGAACTTCGAGCATTCATTACTAACTTGACTATTAATGAAGAACTCAGAAAAGAGTTAGGCTCTACACAGGCAAACTTCTTGAAAATACTATAAAATAAAGGGAAAAAGTAAGTCTAAAAGACGAAAGGAGCCTTTTGATGATACAACTAGCAACCACAATGTATTTTCCAGCCTTAAAATTTCTAGATCAATCTGATACTTCCGGAGTAGTACTGGAAGATAGCGAGATTCTAAAGGTTACTAAAAGCGAGTGTGGTCACAGGAAGAGAGCTAATATGAAGGATATTAGTAGTAGTAGCAATAACTTTATGACTAATTCCCATACTGTCGTCATTATTTATAATATAATAGTTAGCAACCACACTAATAGTAATAAAAATATATGCAGTAATAAAAATAGAAATATTGTTAATAGTAATGGTAGTAGTAAGTTCCCCCCTGACCCCCTGATCCCCATTAAGAGTGACGGCAAATTGAAATCAATAGAGACTCAGAGAAGCCACAAAAGCTCTACAAGACACAGTAGAGATAGAGATGGACAGCGCTTCTGACATTGTTTCTTTATTAAAAGAATGACCATCTACTGCAGAACTCCCCCTGAAAACTAGTAAACTTATAAAGAGAAAATCCTCCTATTACCCTTTGCGAAAAACAAAAGTGACCCTTGCTTGTACAACTTTTGCAATCCAACGGTGCCATGATCCCTAAGTCAAGGGAATAGGCGCCTTGGAAATAAAATATTTTCGACAACAGCTCAAGAATACCTTGCATTTATAGCGATATTGCGCAAGCAAGAATTACAACATTTTGCTATCACTTACTTGAACACAAGCCACAAATTTGTTAGTCGTAGAATTTATTGCGACCTTGATATCCCCCCCGTCGAGGTGAACCTGCACGCGCAATTATCACACCCCTCTGGGATGGCGAGCGGAATAACGTCATCACCACTAGTTTTGGTATATGTATACACTGAATTGAGAGACAAAAGGTGTTAGTACTGAGGACTATTCCTCATCAAATTCGAGTGGAGGAACATAGGAAGAGTAATTGCGTTGGCCAGTGCCATCGTTGTCAGAACTTTGTGCATCTCCGCAAGCTTTTGCACTGCGTTCTTTCGATGCGTGAAAGTGGCATGGGCCACTTGACAGTCCTATGCACGAAAACAAGAAATAGCCCTGCTACTTATGCAAATATTGCGGTGAAGCGCAGGCCGCTAATTATCAAAGCTGCAAGTACTATCCGCAGAAAGTAGCCAACCAACTCGCTAAGTCCACTCCGTCGGTGCTTACTACAAACAACACGGTTACTCCGGGGTTCTCTTACGCGTCCCGTTGGAGGACAGAACCTCATCAAGTCCCGTCCACTATTCTGTTAGTTTCTAAAGCTACTGTTCACGAAAACTGATCAGTAACAGCAACAACCACAGACATCACGGAAGGTGTTAGCAATTTTAACGACGGGTTTATCTAGCATTCTTGAAACTGTGACAGGATTAGAATCTGTTTTTGCAATGCTTTTCTAAACCAAAGGCGCGTTATTACATTCGACTATTTTCTGGAATGCGAATGGTTTTCAGATTAAGGAACATGAGTTCTAGGAGCTGTTACAACGTGAAAGAATTGATATGTGCGTTATCAAACGAGACTACCTCCTTCCTAACATCGCATTTAACCTGTGCAACTTTGTTACGTATCGCCAAGACCAAATCGATGCACGCGGCGAGGTCGTGGCTGTCTTAGTAAAACTGAGCATTTATCACTCGATTTCTCTGCCAACTCTGCAAAGCCTCGGGGCAGTGGAATTTTTCTTTGTACGGTCGGCCAGGGGCCCGTGGCTGTGATCGCTTTTTACAAATTCCCTCGGAATCTACTACCGTCCTTCCATTTGGACGTCATCTTTGCGAGTGACTCCTCTTCTGTTTTGTGCGGAGATTTTAATTACAAGGACCCTTTCATCTGAATGACCACATCCTTGAGGTCTA